GATACACATAAGCACGCGGGTAACATTAATAATCTTTGATATACATGGAATATACTTACTTGTGAATTTGTTTGAAGCGCCCTTTTAAATCAATTGAACATGTGCAATTGTGGCTTTACATTCTTTACATGTTGTCTCTGTGTCGCGTTTTATAGTAAAAAAGTTCTAAACCCAATGGAATTCAACTTCTTTCTTCTCCTTTTCTGTTAATTTATTTGGATGTGTCTCTATCAAGTCAGCTTATAAAGTATTTAAGTGGTTAATATATGTAATGAATTTTTTGTTACATCGATGGCATGTTGCATTATTACATCGCGTCAATTTGGTAATGTCCACGTAACTAGCGACTGGGATCAAAATGTCTGCTACTTTCTTGAAAAAATTATTTCTAATTGTCTACTAAATCTACTTATTCTAAAGGTAATTGATGGAATCATTACAAGAATGTTTCATATAATAGATAGAATATATTTATATAGAAAATTTGATATTAAATTCAAAACATCTATATCATAATTAATGCAAAGTAATTATAATTACTCGTTAAGTGCTTCTGTTCCTTCCGTACATTCATGAAAATTGTTATTTTTTGACGATTTACATTTTTTAGTGTTATTGTTTGCATCCATGTCACTATCTGAACAGCTCTCGTTAATTATTACACTGTCACTTTGAAATGATATCCTACATTTATATAAGGATTTTAATAAAGTAATAAAAATTCTCTACAGAAATTATTCTCAATTATGCACACTAATTATTCGACTACATGAAAATGTTAAAAATTATTATTTCCTTAGAATATTATTATTCAAACATTTAAAAATGATCAGGATTGTATCAATCAAGTAGATTTAACTATTCTATAAATTTAATCATTCCTGAAAAAAATTAAAATGATTAAATATTACTAGTTCTGTTTATACGTGGTGATAGTAAATTTGAATTCGGAGATACGTTTTGTACTCAATAAAACGACATAATATATATGTGAGTACAAATAATAGGTGCGTCATATATCGTATTTGCTGACACGAATATATGATACATCTTTCCATTAATGGCTATTTATTAATCCTAATCATCGTCACATTTTCTCTAGTTAATATCAACTGTTTTATTATAATCAATTTTACATTCTTCCGTTTATTAATTTTTTGTATAATTGGAGTATACTTTGTTGTGATTGCTTTTTAAGTGTCGTTTTAAATTATGAAATCTTATGTACTTTTTAACATATGTACTTTTGTGCAACTAACAGGTTTTTTATATATTTTGCACGTTGCTTTTAAATCGTTTTTTAAAGTAAAATAGTCCCAAGTCCAATTGAATTCACATCTTTTTTCTCTTCTTTTGTTTAATGTTCTTCTACCAAGTGCTTATGTAAAGAAACTAACCAATTATTTATAATGAACTTACCATTACAATAGTCACTTGTTGTTTCATTAATTTTCCTTAAATTTGTGTAATGTTCAGCGACGTATTCAGCGACGAACTAGAGTTTGATTGTCTGTTACTTCCCTGAAAAAATAACTTCCCTGATTGACTATATATATTATACAGATGATTGATGAAACAATAAATGAATTTTTTCCATAATAGATAAATTATATTTGGGGAAAAAATTTAATGTTTATGATTTACTTATATGTACTACATTTAATACAAAGAAGTTATAGTTACTCATTAAGTGCTTCTGTTTCTTCTGTAGATTCGTGTAATTGATAATTAGATAAGTTTAACAATTCTTGATGTTTCGCTTCACTTATATTGCAGTCTGCATGGTCATATGTTTTCGTTGTTTATTGCAATATCGGGACTTGGACCAAATATACTACATTTATGTAAAAAATGATTTAAAAGATGATAAAAAATCAGTAAAGGTATTTTTTTCTATTATGTACACTACTCCATTATCAAGTATCAGTTTTAAGAATCTTATTATACGAATGTTTGAAAGCGAATGTAGAATGTAGTAATCAAGCAAATTCAAATATTCGATCACTCGAATCATTCAAAATAAATATAATATAAAAATAATCGAATATTACTATTTCTTTTATACGTGGTAATAGTAAGTTCCAATTTGGGCACGAATTTTGTACTAAATCAAACTACAAATTATAGAGTTATGTACAATTACTACGAATAATCTTTATATCGTGTTTGCTGACACGCATGTTAGATACATTTTCCCTAATGCGTTCCCTAATCTCTGTTACATTTTGTTATAGTTAATATTTAGTTTCATTGCAATTAATTATGTATTTTTCAATACATTTATTAATTTTTTGTATATTTGAAATATACTTACTTGTGCGTTATCTTTAAGTGAGTTTTTAAATTATGTGTATGTTTGGAGCTAACAGATTTGTTACATAGGTTGCATGTTGCAATTGAATCGCCTTTTAAGGTAAAATAATCCCAGATCCAGAAGAATTTGTCTTCTTTTTTCTCTTTTTCTGTTAATTTGTCTGGATGTTTGTTTACCAAGTGCTTATGAAAAATATATAAGTGCCGAACATGCATAGAATATGTATCATTACAATGATTGCATGTTACTTTATCACTTTCTGTTAATTTAGTGTAATGTCCACGTATCCAGCGACGAACTGGGATTAGATCGTGTGCTGCTTCCCTGAAAAAATAACATCTCTGATTGGCTACATATTATAAAGATGACTGATGAAATAATAATTAATTGTTTCCCGTAATAGATAGATTATATTTATGTAGAAAATTTAATGTTTATCATTGTTTAAATTAAACTAAGTAGATAATTCTGCTAATTATTCGTATGGGCAGATCACATTCAGACTTACATTAATTATGTTGTTAAACACGTGTCTTGTTATCGCTTTACTTTCTGCAATTATTCCAACAGTTCTTCTAGTCTGCACGCGCTTATTACCGGCACTGTAATCTTCAAAATTCATGATTGTTTATCTATCAATCAGCTGTTGATTTCGCTTCATACTACATATCCATTCGCGACCTTTTCTGTTTTGCCGGAAGGCTAATGTTACCTTCGGTATCTGTCTATATATATCGTTCAATGAATATTGTTATTAACGCTCGAATAAAGCTCGGCAGCACATCTCTCCGTAATCGTTCTAATTCGCTACTCATTTCAACACCGTCTGATTTTTCGTGTCTGTTCGCCATCACGACGATGGCTGGGAATTCGGTACCATCTATTCTCGCAACAGTTCCAACAATGATTTACTTATATGTATTGTAATTTATGCAAAGCAGTTATAGTTACTCATTAAGTGCTCCTTTTCCATCGTGTAAATGCTTTTTACAATCGTGTAATTAATGATTAGATAAGTTTAATGAATTAGATGGTCCTTGATATTTCGCTTTTCTTAAAATTATATCTCAGTTTGGATCGTTATATGAATTGCTTTTGTTATTTATTGAACTATCTTGGACGAAATATCCTACGTTTATGTAAGGAATAATTTAAAGGTAAAAAAAAGAGGCAATAGAGGTATTGTTTTCAATTATGTACACTATTCTACTATAAACAAAGCATCCGTTTTAAAAATTTTATTATACGAATATTTAAAAGCGAATGTAGGATGTAATAATCAAGTAAATTCAAATATTCTATCGATCGAATTGTTCCTCGGAAAAATAAAAATAATCGAATATTACTAGTTCTTTTATACGTGGTTATGGTAAGTTTAAATTTAGGGATGATTTTGTATTTCTTGTTTGTAATTAACAATTTACTTATAAAATAGACGACATATTTCTCAAAATTAAATATACCAAAAGATGTATTAATTATAAAAAATATATTATTTAAAATATAAGTGTAAAGTGAAAATTGTATAGGCAGGATGATCAAAAAGTATTTGTACAGTCGAAGAATTAAACTTCTGAAATCAGAAATACGGAGCTCATTTGTTTATGTTAGAACAGAATGTATTCATTATGCGAAATTGTTAATTAATGTTTAATTACTTATTTTTTACAAATAAGACTTTTTTATAAAAAATTCCCTTACCAAACACTTTTTGCAGTCACTGTATACGTATGATAAAAAAATTACTAAGTACAAATGAAATTATTTCTACACAATACAGAATATAACGAAATAAAATACACATCTCTTTCATTATTATACAGGAAAAAATATATATTAAAATTATAATATGTTGAAAATGAAAAATTACACCGAAATAAATCAAGATAAATTTAAATATTAAAAGTTGATGCTTTAATGTATAACATTCATGAAATTTTTATATAAAATTCGCCGATGCTACAATGTTAGAAAAACGTTCAAAGTAATATTTAATATAATACTATACGAGTCACATAAAATATGTGGTTTGAAGAAATAAAAAAAGTTTAAACGCAAATGTTTACTCAGAAATAAATTCACTTCGGAATAATCAATTCAATCGTCAATAAATGTATCTGTTTTGTACATAATATGTAAATTAACCTTGTCTAAAAGGAGGTCAAAAATTTCATTAAAAAATAAATTGTTATCTGAATTAAATAATTTTATATATTCTGCCAAATCAAAATTGGAAACATTCTCCGCAATGGTCCAATGAAATTGAAGCGTTTGGTGTGAATCTGTTAAGATACAGGTAATAACATAAAGTTAATAAAATATTTGGCATTTAACGTTACAATTATATTACACGACAATTATATGACAGCTATTATTTTTAAGAATCGTGGAAGTTAAACATACAATCATTATAAAAATTTTCTTGTCCAAAAATTTCTACAAAATTATACAAGAAATGAAGATATATTACTAAAAATATCAAAAAATAAACAATATCAAATTTGGAATCAATTTTTCTTGTTGGCTACGTTCCGAAACACTACTCGAGTACTCTTATATAACACTTTGTACTTTTTTAACATAAGGTTGAAAACAATATTTAACTGCGTTAACAAAAAAAATAAAAAAATGGTACACATAAACACGCGGGTAACATTAATAATCTTTGATATTGAGTTGCCTGAGATTCGTCACTAGACGTGTATCGTCGTCACAGCCAGGCATATTGCTCGACCATCGAGCGGCGTCTACAAATAGTGAAGTTCAGTTAGAAGAACAGCATCAAAATGTCACATCTCAAGGAAGCATTGCTGCTGATTTGCCTTTTCGCGGGATACGTTCATGGTGGATTGATAGATTGTAACTTTGAAATTTTGGAAAGGAACATTTTCGACCACTGGGCTACTACATGCCCAAGAATATTTGATCCAAAGGAAAACAATTATTGCTGCGTCGATATAGAGAATAAAAGGTCTTATTGCTGCACTTTGTTGGAATTTGCGAAGACAACTGGAGTTACTCTCATTCTTCCTGTAGCAGCTGGAGTGATTGGAATTATTTTCCTAGTAATATGCTGCATATCTTGCTTCTGCTGTGGCTGCTGTCCCTGGTATCGCCGTCCTCAAGGACCAGGCTTCGCATAATACCGTTCCAACACAACGTTTCTTCCACGAAGAGCATTTGTATGCCAATATTTGATAAATTTTTCATTTATATTCTGCTTCCTATATGTAATCTAATTAATTGAACTAATTCCCATGAGGAACATGTATACTTATTTTACTATACATATATCCATTGCGAAAGTATATTTTTTTCTTATAAGAATATCAGCATTATCTCTTCAATCTTATTTGATTTTATGTTATGTCTCTTAGCAGAAACGTAACATTACTTCTTCCATACATCCTCAGATATATGGAACGTTCAGTCTATGTTGCTTCTGAACGGCCTAATTTAAAGATAATTCTCATGGCAATGATATTGATGATTCATTGCCACTGTCTTCCAACAGCATTATGCCAATGTATATTTTTTACAATATTAATAGCAGAATGTTTTTGTAGAAGATTTAAATTTAAATTCTTATTCAATTGCTATATTCTTATAAGGAGAATCTAATCTTCCAATTATAGATGTAAGATAACTTGTGCAGTGGAAATTAATAAGTCTGAGACATATAACCTCGCGTATAACGTACAATAGTACGTATGAAATGCTGTGTTACATCACTGTATATTTTTATATAAATCGCGTTTTGATATTTTTTTGTTAGTTTAACGATGTCTCATTTAATGTTAAGCATACCTCATTAAAATGTACATATGAAATGTTCCAAATTACGTGTGAGAAAAATATGATATAGTTTTTATTTTATAGATTATTATTTTTTATATTAAGAACAACATGCAGCTCTGTGTGTGCGTGCGTGTGTGTGTGTGGAATATACTTACTTGTGAATTCGTTTTAAGCGCCCTTTTAAATCAATTGAACATGTGCAATTGTGGCTTTACATTCTTTACATGTTGTCTCTGTGTCGCGTTTTATAGTAAAAAAGTTCTAAACCCAATGGAATTCAACTTCTTTCTTCTCCTTTTCTGTTAATTTATCTGGATGTGTCTCTATCAAGTCAGCTTATAAAGTATTTAAGTAGTTAATACATATAATGAATTTTTTGTTATATAGATTGCATGTTGCATTATTACATCGAGTCATTTTAGTGTAATGTATCCAGCGACTGGGATCAGAATGTCTGCTACTTTCTTGAAAAAATTATTTCCAGTTGTCTACTAAATCTACTTATTATAAAGATAATTGATGGAATCACTACAAGAATGTTTTATATAATAGATAGAATATATTTATATAGAAAATTTGATATTAAATTCAAAACATCATATATTATAATTAATGCAAAGTAATTATAATTACTCGTTAAGTGCTTCTGTTCCTTCCGTACATTCATGAAAATTGTTATTTTTTGATGATTTCCTTTTTTTAAAGTTATTGTTTGCATCCATGTCACTATCTGAACAGCTCTCGTTAATTATTACACTGTCACTTTGAAATGATATCCTACATTTATATAAGGATTTTAATAAAGTAATAAAAATTCTGTAGAGAAATTATTCTCAATTATGCACACTAATTATTCGGCTACATGAAAATGTTAAAAATTGTTATTTTCTTAGAATATTATTATTCCAACATTTAAAAATGATCAGGATTGTAGCAATCTAGTAGATTCAACTATTCTATACATTTAATTCCTGAAATTTTTTATTCCTGAAAAAAATTAAAATGATTAAATATTGCTAGTTCTTTTTATACGTGGTGATAGTAAATTTGAATTCGGAGATACGTTTTGTACTCAATAAAACGACATAATATATATGTGTCTACAAATAATAGGTGCGTCTTATATCGTATTTGCTGACATGAATATATGATACATTTTTCCATTAATGGCTATTCATTAATCCTAATCATCGTTACATTTTCTCTAGTTAATATTAACAGTTTTATTATAATCAATTTTACATTCTTCTGTACGTTTATTAATTTTTTGCATAATTGGAGTATACTTGTTGTGATTGCTTTTTAAGTGTCGTTTTAAATTATGAAATCTTATGTACTTTTTACGTACTTTTGTGCAACTAACAGGTTTTTTACATATTTTGCACGTTGCCTTTAAATCATTTTTTAAAGTAAAATAGTTCCAAGTCCAATTGAATTTCACATCTTTTTTCTCTTCTTTTGTTTAATGTTCTTCTACCAAGTGCTTATGTAAAGAAACTGACCAATTATTTATAATGAACTTACCATTACAATGGTCACTTGTTGTTTCATTAATTTTCCTTAAATTTGTGTAATGCCCAGCGATGTATTCAGCGACGAACTGGAGTTTGATTGTCTGCTACTTCCCTGAAAAAATACCTTCCCTGATTGACTATATATATTATACAGATGATTGATGACACAATAAATGAATTTTTTCCGTAATAGATAGATTATATTTGTGTAGAAAATTTAATGTTTTTGATTTACTTATATGTATTATATTTAATACAAAGAAGTAATAGTTACTCATTAATTCCTTCTGTTTCTTCTGTAGATTCGTTTAATTGATAATTAGATAGGTTTAACAATTCTTGATGTTCCGCTTCACTTATATTGCAGTTTGCATGGTCATATGTTTTCGTTGTTTATTGCAATATCGGGACTTGAACCAAATATCCTACATTTATGTAAGAAATGATTTAAAAAGTTATAAAAAAATGCAGTAGAGATATTATTATCAATTATGTACACTACTCCATTATCAAGTATCAGTTTTAGGAATCTTATTAAACGAATATTTAAAAGCGAATGTGAAATGTAGTAATCAAGTAAATTCAAATATTCTATCAATCGAATCATTCCTGGGAAAAATAAAAATATTAAATATTATTAATTTTTTTATGTCTTGTGATAATAATTTTAAATTTGAGCATAAATTTTGTACTCAATAGAACTACAAAATATAGAGTTATTTATAATTAGTACGAATAAATGCGTCTTTACATCGTATTTGCTGACACGCATTTTTGATACATTACATGTTACCATAATAGATACATTACATTTGTGTAGAAAATTTAATGTTTATGATATACTTATATATATTTTATTTAATACAAAGCAGTTATAGTTACTCATTAAATTCTTCTGTTTCTTCTATAGATTCGTGTAATTGATAATTAGATAAGTTTAATGATTCTTGATGTTCCACTCCGCTTATATCCCAGTTTGCATGGTTATATGAATTGCTTTCGTTGTTTATTGTACTATCTGGACTTGGACCAAATATCCTACATTTATATAAGAAATGATTTAAAAAGTGATAAAAAAATGCAGTAGAGATATTATATACACTACTCCATTATCAAGTATCAGTTTTAGGAATCTTATTATACGAATATTTAAAAGCGAATGTGGAATGTAGTAATCACGTAAATTCAAATATTCTATCAATCGAAACATTCCTGGGAAAAATAAAAATGTTAAATATTATTAATTTTTTTATATCTGGTGATAATAATTTTAAATTCGAGCATAAATTTTGTACTCAATATAGAACTACAAAATATAGAGTTATTTATAATTAGTACGAATAAATGCGTCTTTATATCGTATTTGCTGACACGCATGTTTGATACATCTTTCCATAATGCATACCCTAATCTCTGTTACATTTTGTTTTAGTTAATATTTATAGTTTTATTACAATTAATTATATATTTTTCAATACATTTATTAATTTTCTGCATATTTGGAATATACTTACTTGTGCCTTATCTTTAAATGTTTTTTTAAATTAGATATATATCTGGACTTAAGAGATTTGTAACATAGGTTGCATGTTATTGAATCGCCTTTTAAGGTAAAATAGTCCCAACACCAGAAGAATTTGTCTTCTTTCTTCTCTTCATCTGTTAATTTGTCTGGATGTGCCTCTACCAAGTGCTGATGTAAAATATGTAAGTGACGAACTTCTATAATGTATTTATCATTACAATGATTGCATGTTACTTGATCACTTCTTGTTAATTTTGTGTAATGTCCACGCATCCAGCGACGAACTGGGATGAAATTGTCTGATTCTTTCCTAAAAAAATAACTTATTTGAATGGCTATACATATTATAAAGATGATTAATGAAACAATAAATGAATGTTTCCCGTAATAGATACATTACATTTGTGTAGAAAATTTAATGTTTATGAGTTACTTATATGTATTATATTTAATACAATGCAGTTATAGTTACACATTAAGTGCTTCTGTTTCTCCTGTAGATTCGTGTAATTGATAATTAGATAAGTTTACTGATTCTTGATATTCCGCTTCTATCCCACTTACCTGTATATCCCAGTTTGCATCGTTATATAAATTGCTTTCGTTATTTATTGCACTATCGGGACTTGGACCAAGTATCCTACATTTATGTAAAGAATGATTTAAAAAATTATAAAAAATGCAGTAAATGTATTGTTTTCAATTATGTACACTATTCCACTATGGACAAAGTATCACTTTTAAGAGTCTTATTACACGAATATTTAAAAGCGAATGAAGAATGTAGTAATCAAATAAATTCAAATATTCTATCAATCGAATCTTTCCTGGAAAATATAATAATGGTCGAATATTACTAGTTCTTTTATACATTATGATAATAAGTTCAAATACGATGATGAATTTTACTGAATAAAACAAAATATAGAGTCATATACAATTAGTATGAATAAGTGCGTCTTTATCGTATTTGCTGAAATGCATGTTTGATACGTTTTTCCATAATAGCTACCTTAGTCTCCATTACATTTTCTTTAGTTAATATTAATAGTTTTATTATAACCAGTTTTATATTTTTCGTACGTTCATCGATTGTTTTCCGATTTGCGCAATATACTTACTTGTGAATGTTTTTTAAGTGTCTTTTTAAATTCTCTGCTCTTGTGTAACGGACTGTTGTTTCACATATTTTGCATATTGCATTTGCATCGTTTTTTATGTTGAAATAGTCCCAAATCCAGAAGAATTTGACTTCTTTCTTTTCTTCTTCTGTTAATTTGTCTGGATGTGCCTCTACCAAGTGCTTATGTAAAATAAATAAGTGCCGAATAAGTATATCGAAATGATCATTACAATGATTGCATGTTGCTTTATCA